ATACATACATACATACATACATACATACATACATTACATACATTACATTACATACATTACATACATTACATACATACATACATACATACATACATACATACATACATACATACATACATACATACATACATACATACATACATACATACATTACATGCATACATACATACATACATACATACATACATACATACATATACATACATACATACACATACATACATACATACATACATACATACATACATACATACATACATACATACATACATACATACATACATACATATACATACATACATACATACATACATACATACATACATACATACATACATACATACATACATACATACATACATACATACATACATACATACATACATACATACATTACATACATACATATATACATGCATACATACATACATACATACATACATACATACATACGAGAGAGGGAGATTGGGGAGAGAGTGGCTTGGGGGGCTGGGGAGGATGGGGAGCGGAGGGAGGGAGAGAGGACGACAGAACACACCAGGGAGACAAGGGAGAGAGGAAGAAGGAGAACAGGGAGAGGACAATGTCGGCGGACTGAGCCGGAGGCTCTAAAGTAATTTCTGGGCGGCAACCTGTTTCTTTCCAGCCGTACAGCTGCTTCATCACCACGGGTGGTGCAACACACTCCGTTGGCAACGCCACCCAGTGATGCACCCATGGCGCACTTTGCATAGAAAGATCCACAAGCAGACTTTCTTGCAGAGATTTAAAAAAGAAAAGAAAAAAGTGGCATCTGTCAGCACTACCGCCAGCTCTTTCTGCATGTGTTTCCTCATTGGCAGTTTGAGTTCGGGCCTTGAAAGCACCTTGAGCCATGAGCAATGGACTATGCAAAGAATGAAAGCGCTGGTTTCAGTGCGCAAAGATCCCTACCTGCAGCTCTTTCGCCAGAGAGTGTTTGAATCGCAAAGAGCACGCCATTCGGTGGCTCTTCGCAGGTCGATCTGCCGGAGCCTTTTCGGCCCCTTGCGTTTTTACGTCTGTGTCGCTGCCTGCCTCAAGCTGCCAGCATGCACACCACGCCCACCACACCCACGTACGGCTGGCATGCTGGGCACAAAGGCATCGGAGCACTCTCGTTGCAAGGCAGCAACGCTGTAGCTCAGCATCCTCATAGCATAGCTCGCCTGGAAAAGCATCGACTTGGAAAATCAAATAACTCAAGTCGAGGCCTTGCAATCTTAAGTCTTGTTAAGTCTCAAGTCTCGGCTGTCTCAAGTCTCAAGTCGAGGCCTGGCCTCCATGAGGTCCCGTTGCTGGCGTTTCACCTTGGCCCTCCACAAGCGCGAGGCCTCCTCTTCCACCTGTTGCACCAGGCACGTGTCCACCACCTCCATATGCTTCGCCACCTTCTGTCCAGCGGCCTGCATCCTAGCTCGTTTCGAAGCCGCAAAGCTCAAGATTTGCTTATTCCCAAAGCGGAAGTTTGAAAGGCGTAAGCAAAATCAAAGGCCGCGAAGTTAAGGGGTCGAGTGGCCAAATCTAAAATTGTCAGCGAATAGATGCGAATAGCTTGTAATCGTGTAAAACCACAATTTCAACGCTCGCTGCGCATGCGCATGACATCATTCGCCGTGAATGTCACGCGACTCGCGCGCAGAGCCACTTTTTGCTTTTCAGCCTGAGGGGGGAGTTGCAAAGGTGCTATCTGGTTTGCCTTGATTGCCATCAGCAAGCGAAATCAAGGTTGCTGCAGCACCTGACTGGTGGCGGAGCACTGCATTTGGCGTCGCATGTTTTTCAACATCACATTGAAAGCTGCATTGATGAGCACTGCCAAACTTTAAAGCCTCGCGAACAGAAGTATGTTTCACCCTTTGGCTTGAATAATGTTGAAAGAAAGTGAGAAGACGGGGCAAGGATGAAAACGCAGGTTTTTGAGTGAGCTCAGTCGACGAGTGAGCGGCCTCGGTTTTACAAAGTACGGCGAAGGGCAAGATGGCTCGAACACGGGCAGACATCAGACGTGAGGCGGTCTGCGGGCTCGCGAGCGGCGGTTGATGACACAGCAACTACACAGGCATGACGCTAAAGACATGAGTACCACAACGCGAAGGCAGCCCAGCGCTGTGTACCCCAAATGACGATGGGAACAACATTTTCTATACGCAAGTAAACTTAGATTTGCTCTCAGCTGTCCGTCCGATGTTGCCCCGAGAACACACTAGTAAACGACTCAACTTTGACAGATAAACAGCGCAATATACAAACGCGACAGAGACTCCAGTGACTAGTGGCGGAACACTGTACTCAACGATGCTTTGAACACTACCTTAACACCGCTCAAAAACCAGCATGTTCCACCACTCGGATTAATTTTGAAAGGAGGTGACAAATGTGTTTTCCGTCACCACTGAGCAAGGGTAAAGCTAATAATCGATGATTTGTTACATGTAGTGTTCACTTGAGTGCTCAGCGCAAAGTTCAGCACATGTACGGACGATGAAACATCCCAAGTTTGGAAGAAGCCATCATTCCGACGGCTTTCGCAACGAGAAGGTAAATGTCCGTTTGTACCAGACATACTACCTAAATGATTAGCCGCTGCAGGGCAAGGGGCACTGGGCCGGGGTCACCCTAGTATATGTTCCTAGAACCTGGAACATAGAAATATATTATATACATACACATGATGTTTAAATATGTTTTTCTGCGTAAAATGCATGGCCAAGGGTCTCGCTGCGCACTTTCTGCGCCATCTCCGCCCCCGTCTGCTCGAAGAGCTGCAAAGCGCAGCCTCTCTCTCTCTCGTGTTGTAACACGGGGCGAGGGACAAGGAAAATCCTGGACGAATCGGCAGTTGACTTGTGGGTGCAAACCAAGCCCCCACTCCAAAGATTGAATCAAGGGTTCCCAGACTTCAGGAAGTCCTGCTACCCCGAGCCCAACTTCACCAGATCAGCGCGCAAGCTGATGGCTGAGGGAACTGCCAACACTTTCTAAGGCCCACGAGCCCATGGTTCAAGCATCGGTACAACCATGGCGCTTGGCCCTTGCCTGCGGTTAAGCGAACTGAGCGCTGCATCTCACGGGAGACCTGGTCAAACCGACTGCAGCGCATCTTCATTAGACTGTCCTGGAGCTCTTCACAGGTCACTTTCCCGTCCCCGTCTTCATCCAGCAAACTCCGCAGCTGCTTGCTCTGCGAGGGCAGAGCTACCTTCATGTCGTCCATCAGCTCACTGGCCAGAGCAGACTGGAAGAGCCGGGCCGTCTCCGCCTCCGTCAGCCAGTTCCGCTTCGGCTTCCGGTGGGCTGTGTAAAGCTCGCAGATGCGGCTCCGCAGCATCTGGAACTCAAAGTCCTTCTCCACCGCGGATGGGGGCGGCAGCTGCCGGGCCAGCTCCATGACTCGCTCGCAAACCACCCCTGTAACCAGGTTCAGCAAAGCAAAGTTGCTGAGGCAGATGAAAACGAAGAGGTAAGCGGCCCACATGTTGGAGTCCCCCAACATAGCCGCAGCGATCTGTGGCCAGCCCTCAACCAACACTAGCTTGATGTGGGTCAGGAAGCTGGTCGAAATCGAGCCGAAGAATCCGCGTAAGACTTCGTTGTCATTCCCAAGGATCTCGGAGCATATCAAGGCGCCAATATACGACAAAATGCACAGCAGTATCATGGCGTCCATGATGGTGATCATAGTGCTAACCAAACCCTTCACAAGCAGTGCAAGCGCGGGGAGGATCTGCAGCAAGTGCACAAGTCGCAAAATGCGCAACAGTCGGGCGGCACGCACCAATCCGAGCAGCGCGCCATTGATGTGTATTTCAGCCACAGAAAGAGTGAGGTAGGCGCTAGCACTCAGCAAAAGGATCATATCTAAGATTCCCAAAAGGCTGCACATGTACGCCATCCCAAGCGCGCGGCCTTTCAGAAAATACTCCGCGCTGAAAATGACCAAAAGGAGAGCGTCCATGGTCAGGAGGCTGTAGAATGCCAGGCCGCCTTGCTGCCTGGCAACGACTGGGCCTTGTTTTTGTGCGGGTGCAGCACAATCATGAGTCCGTGGTGGCTTCATGTCTGACTGGGCGTGCTCGCGAGGAAGAAAATGGTTTGGAAAACAAAAACAGGTGGGCAAAATGCTTGGAACAACTATGGCAGCTTGGGACTTGTCATGTGATCTGGAAGACTTCTCTTGAACAAGAACAGGATGTCGTTTCAAACAGAATCTGAGAGCTTGTATACCCGTAAGTGCGGAAAAACCTAGACACGAGAAGGTCTTCATGGCTGAGAGCTCCAAGCCTGTTGCGCGTATTCGGTCATAGTGAATTACGACGTTCATGCCCCTGGCGCATGGAGCGCCAAAGTTGAATCCGGCGAATCAAGCCAACGTGACACTCCCGCGCTCACACTCGCTCACTCGCGCACGCACTCACTCACTCCCTCCGCCTCTCCTCACTGGCACGCGCGCTCACTCACACTTGCACCCACGCTCAGTCTCTCAGTCTCTCACTCACTCACTCACTCACTCACTCGCTCGCTCGCTCGCTCGCTCGCTCGCTCGCTCGCTCGCTCGCCTTGGTTTCTACGCATGATCTGCTCACTTGTTAACATGTGTATAACAAGTACACAACCATCACATAGAAACAGCATGGACAACTCGCAAAAATTCAAAGAGCAGTCATAGAAAGCCAATAAACATAGAAGATTCATGGACACGTCCAAAGAACATCAATAACGTATCTTCCGAAACTTGGTTTTGGCCAGCTGCAAGGCGGCATCAAAACACCTCGTCATAGCCGTCAGAAAGAAGATCCCGATAGCACCGTCAGATTTTGTCAAGAGACGGCAAGGTGACGTCCCGTGGGACGCTGTCCACCGAACCCTCCAGCTGTAAATACCAACCACGTAGAAAGGTGTATACGGTCAAACCGTTATAGCCGAACCCGTGTAACTGTTGTAAGGGAGAAGGAATAATAGTTACAACAGTGGTCCTGACAAATGCAGCGCAAGCGAAGTGTTTTCCGCTCTCAATTGCCGATCACGTATGAACGCAGCTTCACATAAGATCTTGAACCTCACTTGTGACTTGAGCCAAATGGCAATCAATGGAACCTTGTAAGCAACACAAACACGGACCTCAGAACTGCTTCCCAATTTAGGCACGGGGCCAGGAGGGTTTTAACATCCCCCATTTGGGTCGCATTGTTCATCATGCGGTCCAAACACCACAAAACGTTCCAATGGCCACGGCTTCAGCTACGAAACTGTGTCGAACACTCTTTCATTCACTATTGCTACACCGTCCATTCATTGTGAAACTTGCCAGGTCCAATCAAGGCAGAAACATGCATCCACAAATCGTAGCACATTCCTATACTCAGATGCAAGAGACATTTTGCCTCTAGCCAATACGCAACCACTTGAAATCCCGGCTGCCGCATTTGCGCATCGCGCGGCCGTCATCCACAGAAATGGGTTGGCCATAGAAATCTATAGTAGCGCACGGTCATGAGCCATCTGAATATCATCGGCAAAGAAGATTTGGCGAGCAATACATGCAAAACATAGCCATTCCAGGTACCATGAATAATATATATATATATATATGAAAAGGAAATCATCCATGAGGTAATAGTTCCATCCATGATATCCGGAATGTCATAGTCATCGGAATATGTAAATGTATACACATCCATTCATCTTGGACGCATGAAATCATATCATGATGTAGAGTCGTTCCATCGCAATGACATTGATGAGACGCAAGCAATAGATGGGGACTAGCCCACATCGTGCCGCAATCAACATCGGAGTGAATATATGTATTGCTGTTGGTGGGCGCACCACACCACATAAGCAATAATAATCCACATCTGCATTACGCATACCTGTCCCCAATGGACAGTCTGTGGGTACGTCGACGGAACTCTTCGTCCAAATTCTTTTGGGCTTCTCGCGCCCGGACACACTTCTTGCGATGATCTTCTGGTATCCAATGCCCCATTCGGAGGCACCAATCCAGCAGAGGTGTGTCGCATTTATTCGGGTCAGTGGCTGCAATAATGGCGCTCACATTGACCGAATAACCATATCTGCCAAGGTTCAAGCCTTCCCTTACGAACGATATATATTTACAGTTGAAAGCCAGGGAGAAGCATCTGTAAATGATATCACCCACCGGGCGCACGCGATCCTTGACCAGGAGCTTCATTTCGTCTTTGGTGATGTCGAGGATTCTCGCTGCAATCCACAGCTTGTAAAGTATGTATAGCCCCTCGCACTTGCATACCATCAGACGAATGTATTCATTACGCTCCTCAGCCGACCGGAAGGTCCTTGTCCGAACATTCTGAGATCGGCTAATCTTCACTATTGTTGACGGCAACAGGATCCCTTCCTGATCGTGCTCAGTCATGTTGGGGTACTTCTCGAAGTCGTTGTGGTATGGGCAGCCTAGCTTCCCTTCGAGCGCGGCATCGATCGTTCTCTTTTCACCACCTTCGAACATCCCCCACATCTTTGACATCTGCAGCGCGATGAATCCCGCCATTTATTGAGCTTCGCGCGGCTCATCAAGGCAAATCGCCATCCGCTGGGAATTTATGATATCCCGCGATGCCAAGTCATTGTCGCGGTATTGCCAGCCGCCATCTTCTTCCTCAGACATGTAGCCGGACGTGTATCCTTGCGTGTCCATGTCGTCGTCTTCAGGAACGTTCTCCGCCTCATCATCCTCTTCCTGCGCTGCCGCACCATGGTTGGCTTCGTCTTCACCCGAAACATTGGGCCTTTGGTTGTCCCCGTCGTCGTCGGAACTGATGTGGATGCAGAATCTCCCGGTAGAGATCAATTGCGCCCCACATTCCAGGCACACACAGAAGCATGTGGGAATCGCGGTCGCGCATGACGGACATATCCGGCATCTTAGTCCTTCCCATGTCTCGTCATTCAGGATGACGACTTTGCTGATCTCGTCCCTGATCTCGTTGGTCTGCGCATCAAACTCCTCCAGCTTGTTTTCCCGAAACAGTTTGCACGCACGATCAACCATGTCTTTGATGTAGTGCAGATTGTCGGCACCTGCCTCGGTCTCAGGCATCCTCTCGTTGATCTTCGCGACGTTCTGTAGGAACATCGCGTTTTCCACACATTTTGAGTACGCTCGCTTGACGTCCTCGTACTCCAGGCGTTTCCCTCCGTTGCTTTTGCCAATCCAAATGGACTTGGCCTCATAGAACGGGATCACGTCAAAGGCCTCATAGAACGGGATCACGTCAAAGACCATGAATGTCCCATTTGCCGCGACTCCAGCTCCATACCGCGCGAGGGTTGCACTGGGAATGTAGATGATCGCAATCGGATCCCCCGACCTTACGTTTCGTAGCGTCACCTTCGTTGCTACGTTCATCTCATCCCATGGAGCAAATGCTCCGAAGTGCAATGCTAGCCTGTTTCCGCCATCGATCCCGCCGGGGACTAGCCCACAGCGTACGATGCTCGGCAGGTTCTCCACATACGTCACATGGAATGCTCCTCCGAGAGAATCACCCATTCTTGCAGAATACCTATTTGCCAGTGCGGATGAGCTCATGAATCCAAAATCACTGTGACCAGTTGTGACTCGGATGCACCAAGGCCTGTACCATCCATCGCATCTGTTGAACATCCTGTCGATGTCATCCCGATCCAGGCCAGCATAGTTCAACTCCTCCCTGGCCGCCTTCATACCATTCGGGTTCATGACGCTTGGAAACCTTGCTGCCAGGACCTGAAACCTCGATTTCTTGTGTCCGGATTCCTGCCACTTGATCACTTCCATGATGCCCATGTATCGTTTTGCTCTCGAAGTTGCAGGTGGGAATATGTCGTTATTCCGGTCGTCAATGACTGCGTCGATGTCGACCCATCCACCTTCATCGCATCTGAAAACACTTCCTCGGCACTTGCCGATTTTGTGTCGAAGGACTCTGCACAGGTTGTGAGATAGCTGGTTTGCTTGATCTCTCGTAGCAAATACCGAGCGATCGTCGCCAATCTTGCATAGTGGAGCACCGTCAAAGGGAGCAACGCAGAAATTGACGCTCTTGCCAAGCTGCATCACATCCACTTGTTCAAGGATGGCACCCTTGGGAAAGTACTTGGGGTCAACAATAGATGCGTACGCCCATGGCATATGCACATCGCTCACGTCGCCGAACTTCGGGATGTAACCTGGGATGGTGTCACACCCTCGCTCTAGCGTCGTCTTGAACGTTCTGTTGTCCCCGCACGGATTGTAGGTGAGGTCCACGCCACCGCATTGTAGCTCTCCTCCCACAGCCGTGTCAGCCATCTCCACCAGATTGATGGTATAGCTATACATTTCTATTGTCTCTTCCCCTTCTTGTCCCCCTTTCTTGCGTCCCTTGGACGTCGATGAGGACGGTTCTTCCGTGTCCCCCATTTCTTCATCCGAGGAAACATGATCGCTGCTGAGAAGCTCACGGATCTTCTTCATCGCCTTCTCATTCCCAGCAGCCTCCTCGTAGTTCTTGCAGTCGCCGTCGTGGGCCAGGTTCGCGCATCTCATGCAAATTCCCATCTCTCCCATGCACTTTTCCATTGAGACCAGGAACTCGAGCGCAGCTCTCCGCCCATCAATCACTCGCTGCTTCTTCTCTTCTTTCTCAACGTTGGGCTGAGAGTTTCGGCTCGGGTCTGGCACTTGACCAAGACCGTCGCCTTCGCCCTCTGTCGCCTTCCTCTTGGATCCTTGGGTGGCATGCTCGGCCGTCAGGGATCGCGGATGTCTGGGCTTGACCGTGTTCATGATGTCCAACACTTCTTTCGTGGGCGCCCCAAGCTGGGCGGACGGTTTGTTCCGCTTTCGGTTCTGGCCCGTCGTGTGGCTCACGTTCCTGGCGAGGAGTTGTACGATTGAATGCTCGAACTCCCTCTTGATCTTCCATGCATCTTTCCACAATGGAAGTTCGTGCTGAAAATACGACATCACCTCAAAGAAACCCAATAT